CAGTGCGGAATCAAAGGCAAGGCCTGGACCTCTTGACTTGAGGAAAGAGCCAGAGGGACTTTGTGCAGACAGCAGGAGCGAAGGCCACTGAAACAAAACCCTCCTCTCTTCCACCCTTCCCACCTCCTGCTTCCCCTTCCCTCATCAGAAATACAACTCACGCCTCACATGGGCTGCATCCCAGAACTCCTCGTTCTCTCTCTCTCTGCTTTTCATCTTATCTAAAAATAATCAAGCTCTTTGGGCAGTCGGTGCAGACGCTGAGGTCAGCACTATAGGTTCCTACTAGCATCCTGGATTAGCCAACCCACCACCTCCTCCTTTCAATCGAGCCTCTTTTTACTTTCTTTCCATAGCACAAACACACACACACACAAACACACACACACACACGCATACGCATCCTTCACTTTCTTATGCAGCAACCCTTGGCTAGAATCCACACGTCCCTGAATATCCTTGATGCAGCCAGGAACATTTTAAAGTGTCTTTTTATTATTCCCCCTCCCCAAAGAGTGTGTGTGTGTGTGTGTGTGTGTGTGTGTGTGTGTGTGTGTGTGTGTGTGTGTGTGAAGTGAGAGAGATGCTTGAGCTGCTCCATTTCACCTGACGCAGCCAATTTCCCCAAGATTCCAGCACTTGTTTTATTACTATTCTTATGATCTGCATAGAGCACAATAACAGCAAAGTCATTCTACCTGCAGAGGTGGCAGTAATGGCTTTCTCTTACCTTCGCTACCGGTTCGGAGCTGGGAGTGCGTGCGCATGCGCAGAACTCTCTGCGCATGCGCAGAGCATCCGTGATGACGTGTGGGCGGAGCCTCCCGCCGCCGCCAACGGTTCTCCTGAACTGGGGCAAACTGGCAGAATATCACTCCTGAACAGGTGGTCCTCAACTTATGACCACAATTGAGCCCCAAATTTCTGTTGCTAAGCAGTTGTTAAGTGGGTTTTGCTCATTTTATGACTTACTTGCCATAGTTGTTAAGTGAACCACTGAAGTTGTTAAGTTAGTAACATGGTTAAGTGAATTTGGCTTCCCCAACATCTTTGCTTGTCAGAAGGTTGCAAAAGGTGACCATATGACCCCAGGATGCTACAATCATCATAAATATGAGCCAATTGCCCAGTGTTCAAATTTTGGTCATGTGACCATGGGATGCTGCAACCGTCATAAATGTGAAAAACAGTTATAAGTCACTTTTTTCAGTGCCATCTTGACTTTGAGCAGTCACTAAATGAACTGTGTTGTAAGTCGAGGACTACCTGTATAGACTTGCATATTTGCCAAATACTAACAGGAATATCACAATTCAGTTGTGAAGGGGGGGGGGGAGGTAAAAGGTACACCACCCAGTAAGAGATAAGTGTGCACAATGACCAGAGAATTATACCAATATATTACATGAAGAGTTGGATAAAAATATAGTTAGTGAATTGTAAATTAAAATATTCCTTGTTTAGTGATGAAAATTGGGACCAGCCATGTGCATTTTGTGAAGCAGTCATTAAGTGAAATTATTATGTGCTTATAATTTTCCTTCAGTTTTCCTTGGCTTTGCTGACCTGCAAATATTGTAAATGCAAGGACTGGTCAAAAATATTTTTTTCCCATCACCATCATAACTGCGAAGGTTGTTATACAAGGCAGTTGCTAAATGAGGGCTATCTGACTTATGTCACTGATGAGCCTCATGGTAGCTTTTAGAGTTCTTCTCATTGCACCACAAAAATTCAGCAGCCCTTTTTTCTCAATTTATAAAGACAAATCAGCCTTTTAATGTAGTTTAGGAGGGGGACTCCTTGTCCGACTGTTTACTTTTTCATTGTTTTCTGCTTTGCCCCATCCACAATAACGTCATAGGGCTCTTCTTGGCCAGAGAACAACAACAACAACAACAACAGTGTTGTACATAAGACTCTGAAAAAATAGCCAAGCATGATTGAAAACCCACTTAAATCCCTTACTATGGAAATCTATAAACATTATACAGTAGTGATGTAAAAGCGAGATCTTAAAAGAAGCACTAAACAACCAATCAAGCAAGAGATAAGCAAATGCTAAAAGCAAGACCATAAACAATAAGCTTGGATAAAATAAGTAAAGCAAAGAAGGATAACAATCCCTTGATCCCAAAATTAGAGGAGAAATTACTGAAAAACTGTATTGTAGCAATATTCAGATAGTCATTGACTTCAAATAATTCGTTTAGTGACCTGTTTAAAGTTACAATGGCACTGAAAAAAGTGACTATGATCATTTTTCATACTTACGACCACTGTAGCATCCCCATGGTCATGTGATCAAAATACAGATGCAGCTGACTCACCTTTTGGGACCTTCTGGCAAGCAAAGTCAATGGCAAACCCAGAATCACTTAACAGCCATGTTAAGCAGCTTAACACCTGCAGTGATTCATTTAACATCTACAGCAAGAAAGGTCGTAAAAAAGGGCAAAACTCACTTAACAGCAGAAATTTTGGGCTCAATTGTGGTCGTACGTCGAGAACTACCAATATCATGATTTGGAAAATGCTTCCCATAGTGATGTGACCATTTGGAACACTGTACTATACAAGGAACCTCCCAATTTTCTAAATTATGTTCGACACAGAGGAAGCAAAACGAAGGGAGCTCCCTTACACCCCTATTTCCCTATTTGCATGAGTAACGCATGAAGCATTCTTTTGCTGTTAGCAATACTTCTGAAATTCCCATCCAAACTAGCTGCCAGCGGCCCAACCAAGGGCATCAATTTTCTTGAACAGCTGCAGGGGCCAAGCAGGACCCACTGCCACCCGTTTCTAAACTCTTCCTACTGGTGTGGATAGGGTGGGACATGTTACTACAGTTAGCAATAATGTGATAGGATCTCAGCAACCCTATAGGTAATTAAAATGTTGACCAGTACCATGATACTCACACCACCCCTACATTCTTCAGCAGATTATGTATGTGTGTGTCTATGTATGTTAGTTAATTAGTTTATAAGCTGCTCATCTTACCTCAAGGTAACTCTGGGCCAGATTAAAATAATAAAATATAAAAACTATATAAACTAAAAACGCAGATATGTTAATCCTAAAGCCAAACACTGCAGTCCAATTAAAAAATTGGGAAAGCAGGATGAAGGGTGTGTGTGTGTGTTGGAAACGACATGTGGGATCTGTTTTCAACCACATCCACTGTAATGCTTCCCCATTGGAGCCCTAAGCCAACTGGAGCAGCCAAGTCTTTAGGCTCATACTGAAGGTTGGGAAGATTGGGGCCAACCTAATTCTGGGGAGGGGGGGGGGGCAAAATGTTCCAGGGGACAGGTGCGATAGCAGAGAAGGCCCTTCTCTTGGATCCACCGGGTTCAGGCTGAAAGGACTGCAGCAGTATTCCTTTGCCAACACGGATAGGACGAGCCAATCCCAGTAGGATGAGACGGTCCCTCAAATTTTACAATTTTACTTGGGCAAGAGTGATGCATTAGTATTGAAAGGCAGGGGTACCACTTTGCTAGACTACCTGTCATGGATAAGTCATGGGGCAGGAGACAATATGTGCAGAGGAGGAAATTCTGTGCTTCAAATCTTTGGCTTAGGATCCTGGTATCAATCAGCCTGATTTCTGATGTAGAATTTCATACGATAGGGGTGGATGGGGGCATAAAATGCCTCTTAGAAAGTTAATGGGGTCTGCTTAGGTCCAGGAATAAAAAGAACTGCTTTTTAAAAAAAATGATGGATAAGCCTGGAAGACAGATAGAAAAATGCACGCATCTACAGTATTATTTGCTACCTCTTGGGGGTGATGGATATTATAATCCAGCACCTCTAGAAAATGCCAGATGGGCAAATAATGCTGTTTTTAAAGAAAAAAATTGGAGGGTAATGTTTGTTTTAGGGGATTATAGTTTCTCAATATTGTCCATGTAAAAATGGCAGGGAACCATGGTGACTCTCAGTTTTCAACCGCCAAGGCCAGTGAGTTCTTCATCTTTCCTGTTGGATTGCAACTCTTCTCCATTGACTTTGAGACCAAAACAACATTAATATTTTTTTCTTTTCCGTGCTAAATTTTAATTTAAGTAGTTCAGATCATTTTATTGCAACTGATCTGTCAAGGCTCTCCACCTTTCAAGGTCTAGGAAGGCAGTTTCATTTTCAGATTTTATTTGTTTAGGGTTGTCCTTGTTTAAGATGGTTGGACGGCTCAGTTTAAAAATTTAACGCAATAAGAAATGTGATACAAACACAAAAAACCTTTCTACTTGAAAGGTCAAAACGACCATGTTTATTTGTAGTTTTAATGTACTACTGTATTGTTCTTTTGCTTTAATTACAAGCTGCTTATAGTTATTGGCGAACAGGTAGGTCTCGAAATTTAAAGGAAGGAAGGAAGATCAAGAAGGGGGAAAGTAGATTACTAGACAGCAATTTTGTATTGGCTGGACCTCATTTTTTTTTTTTTAAAAATTGCATTGCCTCAGCAACTGAAAAGTCATTTTGCCTTATACTATTTGTAGGAATTAATTCCTCGCCTATCCACTGAAGCACACACCATTGTGTATGAAAACACAAATCCAATCCTGGAGTTGCCAAATATGCCTCCTATCAGCTTCTCCCTGCAAAATCCTTTGGTGCATTTGTGTGTGTTTTTTTTTTNCTGAAAGTAACTCCATCTTGCCTGGGTTCAGATTCAGCTTGTTTCCTCTCATCCAGAACCCAACAATCTATAGGGCAAAATTTCAATAGCATAGCCAGCTTGATGGTAGCCCTGTCTGAACCAACAGATGACTTTTCCCACTAGCTAGGAAATAAATATTAAAAGTAAAAATACTATAATTTTTAGTATAAACCTGTTAATGTTTACAGAAAGGAAAAAGAATGGATTATATAAACAGTGGGAAAAATTAGCAAATCTTACTCATACCTGCATTTCAAACAATATAACATAACTTACATGAGAATTAAATAGGGGGAAAAAACTAATAAGGATACAAGCTACTCACTCCGGGAAACTTGGATAAGTTCTGTGACACTGAACACACCTGACGTAACAAAATTCTCTTGAAAATCTGCTGCATCTGCAAAAGAGATTTTGGACTCATTCAGAAACTGCTACAATAATCAGTTTTTCCCCCTGAATTGTTCAATGTTTTCAGTGTCAGGTTTTGACTTAGACAAACTTCTTATACTATAAATCAGATAATTAGCATATAATCCTAAATATTCCAGACTGGATACTTTTTAAACTCTTTTCTCCCATTTATCATTTATCTATTTTTTTTTAGACCAGAAAGAATAAGTGCCTATGAAAGCAGCCAGCCAAAGAGGTTTGATCCTAAAATAATTTAATATTATATAGCAGCCACTGGCTATGTCAGTTTTGGATGATGGAATAATGATTTGAACTGCATGAGGTTGAAGAAGGCCTTTATATAAAAAGTACCAAATTGAAGTGATCTTTACAAGCTGGCCGTCAGTCCCCTTCTGAAACTCATTTATTTTTTTACTGATGTATTTAACAGTGACATGATTGGCTTTATTGATAGGTTTTTCTCATTTGTCTGATCATCTGAAAAGTTGTCAAAGTTGAGAAACACAGATTTAGAGATTTGCTGACCGAGGCTGGTTGAGGAAGTTAATTCCCATGTTATCCTCAAGGCTGTGGTGGAGTCTGATTTGGATTAGAATAAACCAGGGTTTGGGGGTTTGTTTGTTTGTTTTTTACTAACTTGAGAAGGTGAGAAGAAACAGAACTGGAACTCCAAACCAATCCTATTTCTAAGCCTGCCTTGATGTGCTTCTCCATTATTACTGTATTTTTCAGAGTATAAGATGCACCAAGATTTTGAAGAGGTAAATTTTAAAAAAAGGGCATGCATAGACTTTAGGAGCTTTGTAGTGTGCTCCTGGAGGGGGGGGGGCAAAAACAAGTAAAAAATGGCCCATTTTCCACTCATTTCTGCCCTCCCCAGCCCCCAGGAGTACTTTGCAGGCCTCCCAAACCCTTTGCATGGCCATTTTTGTGAAGGGGGTGAGGTTTCGGGAGGCGAAAAATGCTGTATTCAGTGTATAAGATGCACCCAGATTTTCACTCTCGTTTTTTTGGTGCATTTTATACTCTGAAAAATACGGTAATTCATTTCCTGATTGGATTAACCCTTGAAAGAATCCATCCTTCCAGCAGTCACTTCCAGAATACCACCTAATTCTTTCAGGATTTGTACTGCAGATCCAGGGAACCACAGACCGACAGCTTCATACATTCACCCACACCTTTCCTCTGTCCATTTTTTGCTGTTGCTCACCCAGCATGATTATGGGTTTACTATCCTCCTGGTCAGAACCGATTCCCGTCCTGGGACTGCTGCTTTGATCTGAATCTGAAAAGAAAAGAATCGTGCATTACATTTTACAGCTCTACACAACCGGGGTCTACACAAAAAACATTTCTCTTCTTTTTGGTTTTGGGTTGTTGTTTTTTTCCTTTCAAAAGTTGCTTTCCATAACCAAGAAGTTTAGAGTAGCATCCAGGGCTGGCTGATCAAAACGTAATGTCAGAATGTCTTTAGACAAAGCGAGGTGGCTTTTTCAGGTGGCCACTAAGTTTGGGAGGCAAGAACATGCATTCAAGGCTTAGTTTTAATATTATATTTTTGCTGTAAGGGAAAAAAAGGTTTGTGTAAAGTTCGGGAGGGGGTCGGGTCTTCTGCCTGGTAATTCTCATGTAACTTGTGGGATTTTAATATTAGACACTTTGACTTAAAACACAGAACACAGAATCATAGGGCTGTCAGCAGGGGTGAAATCCAGCAGTTCTGACAGGTTCTGGAGAACCAGTAGCGGAAATTTTGAGTAGTTTGGAGAACTGGCAAATGTCACCTCTGCCTGGCCCCAGAGTGGGGGGGGAAGGGAGATTTTGCAGTATCCTCCCCCTGCCATCAAGCCACACCATGCCCACCAAGCCATGCCCACCAAACTGGTAGTAAAAAAAAATTGAATTTCACCACTGGCTGGAAGGAACTTTGGAGGTCTTCTAGCCCAACTCCCAGTCAAGTGGTTGACTAGTCCATTTTTGAAAATCTCTAGTGATGGAGTACCCATAACTCCAGGAGACAATCTATTCCATTAATTGTTCTGTCAGAAAATTTCTCCTTACTTCCACCTGGGATCTTTCTTTGACAAGCTTCCACCCATCACTTCTTGCCCTGTCCTCTAGTGCTTTGGGGTCAAGCCCTTCTTCTCTGTGTGATGGCAAAGGAAGGTCAGTGGCTGGGTCACCTCAGGCCACTAAGCGCACCTCTTGGCAGCAACCTTTGCGAAGACCCTCAGTCTTCCTTCATCAAGGTAAAGATGAACAGAGGCCAACCACAAGTCCAGGCCCTACCAGGTTGCTACGGCAAC